GGAGCAGGCTGCACAGTAAGTCACAGAAACTTTTATTGGAAACAAACGAGCTGCAGCAAAGTGACACTCAGTGCACGCGGCCCGGCGGGCAGGATGCGGGTCCAGGCGGGCGCCGGGCAGCCCAAGCGCCGGTGGATGACCACTGGGGCCTGCTCGCCGGGTCTTGGGCCCTCTGGGCTGGAGTGTACAGACCCGGGCCTGACCCAGTACAAAATATAAAAATAAACTCTGGGGTTCCTCTGCCCTGCTGTGTCAGTCCTGGGGCAGACCTGTGCCGGCCTGTCCGGTCAAGGACGACAGGAACCGGTGGGGCGAGTGGACATCCATAGGCCGGAGCCAGAGAGCTAGGCGGGCATGGCCTGGTGCGGCTGTGGCTGTGCCGGGGTCCCGCCAGCAGCTGGGGGGTCCTGGGGCCGTCCCCGGGCAGGACCAGTGTTGGGTGAAGCTGGGTGAAGCCGGGGCTCTGCTCCTGCCCTCACATACAGATCACGGGGACCCTGGGCAGAGGCAGGCCGCAGTGAGCCGGGCGTCCAGAGGCGGCCCCACGCCGCCCCCCAGCCTGGGCGCTGGGGACCGGGACACCGGCGGCGGCGGGCACCTGTCTTCCTCCATGGCGCTGGTCTCCTCAGGTGCCGCCGCGCCGCCTCCACCGCCGCCGTCCTCCTCCTCCTCCTCCTCCTCCTCGCCCAGCTCCATGTCCAGCTCGTTGCCCACCTCTGAGGGGGTGTAGGTGGACCCGCTGGGGCACGTGGGGGAACCAGATCTTAGGACTGAGCCGCAGAGCACGTCGGGGAGGGCAGGCGGAGGGCACGCGGGGCGGGCGCCCACCTGATGGAGCGGCAGCTGAAGAAGACGACGCGCTTCAGCCGCTTGTTGTAGAAGAAGTAGTTGAAGGACCAGAGGCTGCCGTCCTCCCCGAAGGGGTCCGAGTCCAGGTCCGGGTTGTAGCTGGGGGTGGGTGGGGGTGTGAGGCAGGCCCGCGCGCGCCCGGGGCCCGGCGGGGACGCCCGCCCACCTGTAGATGTCGCACTCGGCCAGGCAGATCTCCTCGTCCACCGCGTTCCACAGCTGCGGCTTCAGGGCCTTGAAGTCCTCCCGCACTGCAGAGAACAGGCTGCAGTTGACGGCGTTCACCACCTGGAACGGTCACAGCGGGGCTGGGGTCCGGCACCGCACGCGGCCGGGAAGGGGCGTGGGGCAGCGGGCTGCGGGCGCCCTCCCCCGCCCGGCCCTCACCCAGCTGAGGCTGGGCTCCCGGCTGAACTCGTGGCTTCGGGCCGTGCTGAAGTCGTAGTCGGGCCGGAAGGACTCGTTGAGCGTGGCGATCAGGTAGAAGAGGGTCTTGCGGCTACACTTGTCGCTGAGGGGACCCTCGTCCTCTCCGCCTTGGCTCTTGCTCAGCCTGCGGAAAGGAAGGTCAGTGCCGGAGCCCTGCCGCCTGGCCGCGGCGCTCCGCCGGCTCACCTGCTGGGGCTGAGGCCTGAGGTCTGGGGCGGGGACAGCGCCTCCAGCACGTGCGGCTGGCCCTCCTGGCAGAACTGCTTGAACATGTGCTTGTCGTCCCCCGCCATCTTGCAGGAGTAGCTCTCGATCCTGCCGCCAAGACCAGGGCGCGCGTCACAACCCGGTGCTGCCGCGGCCGCCGCGCCACGGGGATGCGGTCCCCGGAGCCCCGCCCTCACCTGCCAATGATGTGGGCGTCGCCAGTCTCCACCGTCAGCTGCGAGTTGATGGCCTCAAAGCTCGAATTCTCCAACAGCTTCATGTCCTTGGTGAGGGGGTGCTGTGCTGAGGGGCTGGTGCGGCCTGAGGACCGGCAGGCCGTGGGTGCCTGGCCAGAGCTCCTTCCGCCCTTCTGGGTCGCTCCCCTGCCCGCTCCCGCGCCCGCTCGCAGGCTGGCCAGGCCGCAGGGGAGGCCAAGAGGTGCCGTTACCCAGCCTGGCAAGCCCAGGCCCCGCCCCCTGCACCCATCCTCAGGCCTCGCGGCCCCGGGGCTGGGTGTGGGGCCCTTCGGGGATCTGCTCAGCCTGGGGCTGAGTGCTTGGCCTCGGCAACCCCGGGGGACGGAAGGGTCCCCCCTCCAAGGAGTGACTGTGCCGTGGAGGGCAGTGATTCCCGCAGGCCCGCGCGGCCCGCCTCCTCCGCCAGGGTGGGAATCGGGGCTCAGGGCCGGCGGCCAGCTGACCCAGTAGCCCCTGTTCTAGGCTGCTGCCTAGCGTGGGGAGGGGCAACCCACCCGCTCCTCCGTCGGTCTCCGCTGGTGCACCCAATTTCTCCGGGCGCCAAGGAGCGGCGGC